TCAGATTTTTACATTTTATGAAAAAAGAAATTATATTTGAAGTTAAAATTACTGAAATAATATCTCTTTACACCTGATATAAAATAAAATGAATAATATTAATATTAAACGATATAGCATTGTATATTATAGATAGATTATGTTTTTGTTGTTTGACCAAGGATAAATTATTGAAGCAGGTAACAGAGGACATCAGTATATCGCTGACAGTGATAGAAGCATGATCTATGTATCTTTCACGCAAGTATTCATTCTTATGATACATTTTTATGAAAAATTAACATTTTTTTGTTGTTGTAATACATATGTTATATAAAATCAGACTTTCTCGGTATTCCTTTTTACATGTAATTACTTATCTTTCAAAATGGGAACAAGTTTTTTGTTCAAGAAAAATTTTATTGGTAATTTTGTGCATTGCTTATCCTCCACACAAACATATCATCTAAGGTTATCCTTTTTTTAGGAACTCTATTGTAAACCTATGTTGATAAAAATTACAGATCAAAACTACCGAAAATAAATAATCATTCGTATTGCAAGATTGTTTAAATATTTCATAATATACCTTTTTAAACTTCTTCTGGTTAAGATTAATTCCAAGGGACGGCAGACCACTTTTTGAACAAGAACTATGACTCCCTTGATCTTCCTAAAATTTTGAAATATCAATCATACATTTACAGTAAAACCGTTGATTTATAAACGTTGCACTTATAACAATTTCAAGTGAAATTCTTACAATAAATGTACTAGAAGCACATGGTTGTAATCTGCTTATATTTTCCATACCCAAAGTATTTGCACATATGTTTTTATTACTCGATATAATGACATCATCATCGCTATCATATTCATCAGAACTAATAATTCTTCTCTTTGGTCTTTTTTCATTTCTTTGCAATGTTTGTGACGTTACTTCAGAATTTTTATCATCTTTCGTACCTATTTGAAAATCACATTCTTCTGGTAAATTTACCATTTGTACTTCTGGACTTTCCTCTTTTGTATTGCGTATTTCAAAAACATTAGCCGATTCCTTTTGCGTGGAAACTTTATTTAAATCTTCATTGCATTTATTTGTACTCGACCGTGTTTCTTCTAATTCACTATCTTTATCTGTATTGAGATTTATTGTTCTGTTGGATGGAGTTCCTTTATTAACTACCATTGATTCATTTGGCAATTCAATCTCCTGCATGTCTGTATTTTGTTGTATTTCTAAAGGTTGAGTATCCTTAGCGATAGATTGTGCTGAGTGCGAGAAAGATGAATCGTATGTTTCAGGAATATAAACTACGCTCTCGTTAGGATGTATTACTTTAACATTTTGTTCAGTTTCTTTCATCACTGGAATATCATTAAAAGTATTTTCCGTTTCCTGGATTGAAGGCTTAGTAGGTTTTGATTTTTCTTTAGACGAATCACTAAGGCCAACGTTTAATAGATCTTGGCTACTAAACTCACCATGTGTATCAGGAATAATTACGTTTTTATATTTAAGATCTTTTGGATTAAAATTGGACTTTACAACAACATTGGAAATTACTTTCGGTAATATTTGCACTTCAGGCGTTACGTCTTGCGTATCGAGAGCTAAGACTTTAGATGAATCGCATTTTGATTGCGATCTCTTTAAAAATTCTGTGAACTTGAATGTTGGATTGCAATATTTATCTGCAGAACAATGTAAAATCGCAAGAGGAATTTCAGTTTCTGATATCATTCTACGACCATGTTCATGTAATTTTTTATCTAAAGAGTAAAGCAGCAATTAATGAAACGTGTGAACATGTAGAAATGATTGATAACAATCACTTACATAAAGCAGCACTTTCAAGTACAACGCTTTGCGTTGATTGCGTCGCATCACTGGAAGCATATTGCACTATAACAACATTTGCAGCACACAATTCTCTAAGAGTCAATGCTTTCTTTATGTATAAAACTGATTTACCACCTGAAATGTATTTCTTATTAAAAACAACATTCAACAATATTTTACTATTTTTTATATACCTGCCATCTTAGTCATTTTCCCATATGTTTTATATTGGCTTTTACTAAAATATACAAATATCAAATTTTGAAATAATGTCTTCCTTTTCTCATTTGGAGCAAGTGATACGTTTTGATTATTAACCAATGACTCTCCAATTAGTGGAACAAAATTCTTTGGATCTGGAATTTCTTTGCCTTTTTTCATTGCACACTTAACTTCTTCCCAATAATTTATAGTTATTATGGGCACTACAAAAGCCATAGCCCAAGTGACCTATTTCATATTCAAATTAATAATATAATTAGTTTATTTGGAATGTAATTAAATATCTGAAAAGATTTTCATGACACAGATCATATCTAATATACTCCTATTTCTTAAATTATAAAATTTATGTAGGTAGACCTTTTCAGTTAGTGTAGCTGTTGACACAGTTAAATGAGTACAAAAGCTTGTCCACTCAGTGGAAATCATACCATCTATTTCATCCATTAAACTCTTAAGTTTACGCTTGTCATTATCATTTACATTAGATATCACTACTATTATTGGTACATATACTACCCTGAAATAAAAATCTGTCGAATAGAAAATTGTGACACTTCTGTTCTATGCGCTATAAGCTGAAACTTTACATAAATATTTGATCCTGCAAACCAAACCGTAGAGTATCTTTGTCCTTTAAAAGATATCCTTCTGCAGATATCTGTATCCATTCTTCCCCTTGCATAATATACGTGCCATATTTAGAACCTATATCTTTCAATGTACATGTTGATATAGGTTCATTTATCTAAAGCAAAATATAAGAATTTTTATTCAACAAATAACACTATATATGTATTTTCTGAACATACCTCTATCACATTTTTAGGCTCAATATAAATGGAAGCATGTAATCTACTAATTGAATCATCATTCAGCAAAAGAATGTCAGCTTTTTTCCTACCAAATGTTATCTGTATATTTGGATTCAAATACAGTAGTACTCCTGCCATGAAAGATACATTAAATATTACTGTAATTTATGATTAGTTTACTTTATAATAAAGAAAAGACGATACCTTCAGGACTTTTTAAATACCACATGACCAAAGACTTTATATAATAATCTTTAGAATTATAAACTTTTAACAATTTTAAACACTTCGTACTCTTCTCAGCAATTAAACACCATGCTACTATGTACTTTAAAAAAAGCCACGAATTAATAGTACAAAGATAGTAAACTCACAGAGTTATCTGTGGTAAAGCAAATCTGTCAGTGGTGCAGTTTTAATGATTCCTGTGGTACAGCAGGTTTCGTACTTATCATGTACAACGATGAGGTATAGAACGCTATATGTATATGCGGTCACAAATAATAGCACGTACGCAGAAAATTAATCAGCCGGGAAACGTCAGAATAGAGTCATGTTCTCTTCCCGAGCGCTCCTGAAAGACTAACTCGATCTATACGTAACCTTAATTTAAATGATAACCTAAAAGTTACAACATTTTATTTGTATGCGGTCACAAATAATAGCACGTACGCAGAAAATTAATCAGCCGGGAAACGTCAGAATAGAGCCATGTTCTCTTCCCGAGCGCTCCTGAAAGACTAACTCGATCTATACGTAACCTTAATTTAAATGATTCCCTAAGAGTTACAACATTTTATTTGGTCGCGTTTATTATAATTGGAAAAGCAAATTAAAAATACTTTTTAAGTTAAAACTGCACATATAAAAAGAAAATGCATGGTTGATTTGCAAACTACGTTAAACTTAATGCTTTTATTGCAATGAATAAGACAAGGAAACTGATAGAAAGAAAAAGGATGGCATTAAATAAACGTGTTAGACAAGGAAAGGAATAGAGATAGACAAGGATCGCAACTGTATCGTGTGTTAGACAAGGAAAGGAATAGCGGTAGATAAGGATAGCAATAGTACCGTGTGTTAGACAAGGAAAGCAATAGGGATAGACAAGGACAGAAAAAAAAGTGGCGATCGAGACTAACGCCATCTTGTGTTTGGCTTCGCGAACTAACGACTCGTTAATAGGATAACAGAATATAAACAGAGGTATTAGACAAGGAACGCACTAGTGTGCGACAAGGACAGAAAGAGAACGCTTCCTATTGGCTGGCGAGCACCCAAGCTCCACCAATCACGGTCTAAATCAAGTCGGTCGGTGAAAAATCATTAATATCTCATTAATTATGATGATTCTGTGAACTTTTAGAGTTGAAGAATGAAGAGTGGACCTTCAGCAACTTTCACATATATTTTTTAGTTCTCTAGACCCTTTCTATAATTAGTTATTAATCATTTTAGTACGTGATGTCGGAAACGATACCGCATACCGTTAAGTATCTTTCCGGATTTTCAATAATTTCATTACTTTCTACTAAATTCCCATGCAAATAACTACACGCGTTTGAAAGGCAGGTCCTTTAGCTACATTCTTTTATAATTTTTATTAACATATTCAGTTTAGTTTAGAAGTTATTAAGCATTATATGGGAGCGTCCCCAATTCATCGTACTCGAGCGTAGTCAACTCTTATAAACAATTGCGAATATCTATGAATTTGTGTCTGAATTGTGAACTTTTAGTGTCGAGGAATGAAGAGTGAACATTCACCAACTTTCCCATATAGTTTTTAATGCACGAACCCCTTTCAATAATTAGTTATTAACAATTTTATCACGGAATGTCGGGAACGATACCGCATACCGTCAAGTATCCTTGCGGTTCTTCAATAATTTTCTAGCTTTCTACTAAATTCTCGTGCAACTAACTATATGTGTTTGAAAGGCAACTTCCTTAGCTATATTTCCATATAATTTTTATTAACATATTCCGCTTAGTTTAGTAGTTATTAAACATTATAGGGGAGCGTCTCTTATTCATCGTATTCGTGTATAGTGGACTGTTATTAACAATTGCTAATATCTAATAAACTACACGACTTACAGCTACAAAACTAATTGCAGAATATAGATAAAAGTCCACTCTACATTCTTCATCCTTGAAAGTGTATAATTTATCACGCATTTCTATAGAAATAACGAAAATGGGTAACGCTTGGATGCGACGACTGTAATACTCTTCTAAAGAATGTTTAATAACTCCTAAACTACACGGAATATCTTAATAAAAATTATAGAAGAATGTAGCTAAAGATGTTGCCTTTCAGACGAATATAGTTAGTTGCATGGGAATTTAATGGAAAGCTATGAAATTATGGAAAAACCGTGAAGGTATTAAATGCGTTTACATACTTCGCATTCAAGGCTAACACGTTTTTGTTATTCTAATAGAAATGCGTGATAAATTATGCACTTTTAAACATGTAGAATGTTGAATGAACTTTTATCTAAATTCTCAAATAAGTTTGGTAACCGTAAGTGATGTGGTTTATTAGATATTAGCAAATGTTTATAACAGTTGACTATACATGAGTTCGATGTATAGGGAACACTCTCATATAATGTTTAATAACTTCTAAACTAAATCGAATATGTTAATAGAAATTATATGGGAATATAGCTAATGAAGTTGCCTTTCAAACACATATAGTTAGTTGCACGAGAATTTAGTAGAAAGCTACAAAATTATTGAAAAACCGCAAAGATACTTGACGGTATGCGGTATTATTCCCGACATCCCGCGCTAGAATTGTTAATAACTAATTATTGAAAGGGGTTCGAGCATTAAAAACTATATGAGAAAGTTGGTGAAAGTTCACTCTTCATTCCTCAACACTAAAAGTTCACAATTCAGAGACAAATTCATAGATATTCGCAATTGTTTATAAGAGTTGACTACGCTCGAGTACGATGGATAGAAGACTGTCCCATATAATGCTTAATAACTTCTAAACTAAACTGAATATGTTAATAAAAATTATAAAAGAATGTAGCTAAAGGACCTGTCTTTCAAACGCGTGTAGTTATTTGCATCGGAATTTAGTGGAAAGCAATGAAATTATTGAAAAACCGGAAAGATACTTAACGGTATGCGGTATCGTTCCCGACATCACGTACTAAAATGATTAATAACTAATTATAGAAAGGGTCTAGAGAACTAAAAAGTATATGTGAAAGTTGCTGAAGGTCCACTCTTCATTCTTCAACTCTAAAAGTTCACAGAATCATCATAATTAATGAGATATTAATGATTTTTCACCGACCGACTTGATTTAGACCGTGATTGGTGGAGCTTGGGTGCTCGCCAGCCAATAGGAAGCGTTCTCTTTCTGTCCTTGTCGCACACTAGTGCGTTCCTTGTCTAATACCTCTGTTTATATTCTGTTATCCTATTAACGAGTCGTTAGTTCGCGAAGCCAAACACAAGATGGCGTTAGTCTCGATCGCCACTTTTTTTTCTGTCCTTGTCTATCCCTATTGCTTTCCTTGTCTAACACACGGTACTATTGCTATCCTTATCTACCGCTATTCCTTTCCTTGTCTAACACACGATACAGTTGCGATCCTTGTCTATCTCTATTCCTTTCCTTGTTAAAGTTTCTCGTTTATTTTCATGTTCTTTATTTATAGAATAATTAGTGTTATTTTACAATAAATTATTGATTTTTTGTTAAATAATTGCATTTCTTCATTTTTCCTGATGTTCAAGTCCTTTCCTTGATTTCTATTGTGGCCTGAATGTTTCATCTGTAATGCACACAAAACAAACATTCATTTTTATATGTTAAATAAAAATTAGTAACAATTTCTAACTGATCTGCTGCATGAAATTGCTAATTTAATGTGAAATTAACGAATTAAGCTGTTTTATTATGTTAAAGCATACAACAATTTTATTTAATACTTTCAATAATTATAAACTGCCATTAAAATTCAAAGATTTTCTATTCTAAAAATCAACTAACCTGATAATACTTCAATTCTGACGATGCTCTCGATCCTCCCCCTTTGAATGCTGACTGATTGTGAGCAGAACAATTCCTCTTATCTTTCTTAGAATCCTCAAATTAAACTCTTCCAATTAAGAAATACGTTATTTCTAATGTTCCTCTCGTTGAAATGCCATTCGATTTAAACTATGGAGCCTGTCGCGATGTTTCGAAGTTCCCATAATAATTATTTGGAACAATCTAACGTTGGAATACGACTGTAAAATTGAAAACATTGCAGTTAATTTCATTTTGAACGACATTTCAAACAATTAACCAAGAACCCTGGAATTTTAAATATACTCAAATCAACTATGGTGTTGAAAAAAATCAACCAAGATATACTAAGTGGAAAACAGAACGTAGGAATAATAAGAAACACATTGGATACGACAAACAACGCGAAGGAACAATAGGATAAATATGGTAAAGGAAATAAGAACGTTGGCTTCACGGTAAAGTGACAACAAAATGTTTCCGCTACGAAGTCTCGAGCCAGACTGAGCTCGTTGACGACCTTTGGACATCTGCGAGACACCTAACCTATTATTCAAAACTTAAAGCACTCTTCACACGACATTTTTCGCCACAGAATTACAATCGTAATAATAACGAAATGTTTAATAAACAAAATCGAAACTGAAGTGTATACAGGGTGTCCCGTAACTCCACGAACATCCGGAAATGGGGGGTAGCTGGGGTGACTCTGAACAACTTTTTCCTTTTCCAAAATCCAGTTCGAAACTTCGTTTTCGAGTTATTAACGAAAAACACTGGCCAATTACAGCGCGCGTAGAGCCCGCGCTCAGGGGCGGAGAACAGAGGCTCATCCGCGCGCGATCGAACAAATGCGTACGCGTGACTTCTCGGTTCTCGATCGCTGTCAAAAAAATTTCACTTTGCACTGCTGTTTTTATAAGGCTTAGAGAAATGGTTTTCGGCTGTCATTCCGACGTTTGTGTAAATTTTTGAAAAAACTGCAATTAGTCTGAATCGCGAAGAAAATAGCGAAGGTACGCGTACCGGGTTTGCAACTTTGTTGGCGCGAATCGCTCCCGAAAATTGCACATTGTTGCAAACGTGCTCTGGGTTTGCAACTTTGTTGTCGAAAGTCGCTCCCGAAAATTGCACATTGTTGCAAACGTGTTCTGGGTTTGCAACTTTGTTGTCGCGAAAATTTACACATTGTTGCACGACGCGCCACTTTGCAACTTTGTGCTTTTTTCGGGAGCGACTCCGGGCAACAAAGTTGCAAACCCAGAACGCGTTTGCAACAATGTGCAATTTTCGGGAGCGACTTTCGGCAACAAAGTTGCAAGCGCGATCCCCCGTTATGCAACTTTGTTATCCCGAATTGTTGCCGAAATTGCACATTGTTGCATGCGTGCTCTGGGTTTGCAACTTTGTTGTCGAAAGTCGCTCCCGAAAATTGTACAATGTTGCAAACGTGCTCTGGGTTTGCAACTTTGTTGTCGCGAAAATTTACACATTGTTGCACGACGCGCCGCTTTGCAACTTTGTGCTTTTTTCGGGAGCGACTCCGGGCAACAAAGTTGCAAAGGGGGTGTCGCATTTGCAACTTTGTTGCCGAAAGTCGCTCCCGAAAATTGTACAAAGTTGCAAACCCAGAACGCGTTTGCAACAATGTGCAATTTTCGGGAGTGACTTTCGACAATAAAGTTGCAATCCCAGAGCACGCTTGCAACAATGTGCAATTTTCGGGAGTGACTTTCGACAATAAAGTTGCAATCCCAGAGCACGCTTGCAACAATGTGCAATTTTCGGGAGTGACTTTCGACAATAAAGTTGCAATCCCAGAGCACGCTTGCAACAATGTGCAATTTTCGGGAGTGACTTTCGACAATAAAGTTGCAATCCCAGAGCACGCTTGCAACAATGTGCAATTTTCGGGAGTGACTTTCGACAATAAAGTTGCAATCCCAGAGCACGCTTGCAACAATGTGCAATTTTCGGGAGTGACTTTCGACAATAAAGTTGCAATCCCAGAGCACGCTTGCAACAATGTGCAATTTTCGGGAGTGACTTTCGACAATAAAGTTGCAATCCCAGAGCACGCTTGCAACAATGTGCAATTTTCGGGAGTGACTTTCGACAATAAAGTTGCAATCCCAGAGCACGCTTGCAACAATGTGCAATTTTCGGGAGTGACTTTCGACAATAAAGTTGCAATCCCAGAGCACGCTTGCAACAATGTGCAATTTTCGGGAGTGACTTTCGACAATAAAGTTGCAATCCCAGAGCACGCTTGCAACAATGTGCAATTTTCGGGAGTGACTTTCGACAATAAAGTTGCAATCCCAGAGCACGCTTGCAACAATGTGCAATTTTCGGGAGTGACTTTCGACAATAAAGTTGCAATCCCAGAGCACGCTTGCAACAATGTGCAATTTTCGGGAGTGACTTTCGACAATAAAGTTGCAATCCCAGAGCACGCTTGCAACAATGTGCAATTTTCGGGAGCGATTCGCGGCAACAAAGTTGCAAACCCGGTACGCGTACCTTCGCTATTTTCTTCGTGATTCAGACTAATTGCAGTTTCTTCAAAAATTTATACAAACGTCGGAATGACGGCCAAAAACCATTTCTCTAAGCCTTATAAAAACAGTAGTGCAAAGTGAAATTTTTTTGACAGCGATCGAGAACCGAGAAGTCACGCGTACGCATTTGTTCGATCGCGCGCGGATGAGCCTCTGTTCTCCGCCCCTGAGCGCGGGCTCTACGCGCGCTGTAATTGGCCAGTGTTTTTCGTTAATAACTCGAAAACGAAGTTTCGAACTGGATTTTGGAAAAGGAAAAAGTTGTTCAGAGTCACCCCAGCAACCCCCCATTTCCGGGTGTTCGAGGAGTTACGGGACACCCTGTATATATATATATATATTACAAATTTTAATTAGAAAACTGAAAATAAGGAAGTAACATTCGTAAATGCGAAAATAAAGGATAACATGGCATTTAAGGAATTTCATCCTGCTTATCACACTGACACTGACGTACAATTCAACGAGTACGACGATTTTATTTACTTGTCCACCGTATCAGCAATACTTTCGCTCATTTATATTAATCGCTCACAGCAAAACTTATCGTCTACCAGAAAACATATAAAACGTATACC